TTCCCCTGTAAGTGAAAGGAACTTGAGTGGTGCTTAGCTGAGGAGAGGATGATACTTGATGGTGGGACAGGAAAGATAAGTGAGGTCTTTTTCTGATGATGTGCCTACAAGAGCTCTTGGCCAAATTGATGTAACTTTCTTGTCAATACGCTTTTTACTACTGTTCAGGTTCTGCTACCAATGGAATGTTACATTAGTTGTCAAAAATAGTATCTATTGGCCAAATTCCTTTTCATTTCTTAATGATGACATGATATTGTGAAGAGTAGAATATAATCGTGTATAATTACAAAAAGTTAACCATAAGATCTAATTAAAATATAACTAAGACCTTAATCTTCATGCCCAAGAGAGTAGAGACATTAAACGTTTTGTCTATAAACATTTTTCAAATGAAATTTTAAGGTTTATTTCATATTTGGCAATAATTAAGAATGATTTTTTTTTTTGAATAATTAATTCATATTGGACGATAATTATGAATGATCTTATGGAGAAGTTTGTTTTTCGAAAAGTCCATTTAATTGGAATAAATTATTAAGAATTTTGAAACCATTTAACATTGCAATCCATTAAAATAAAAGCTGAAATTTTACAAAATGCTGCCAAACTAACGAGCACACTGGTCGGAATGTGAGTTGTGCGGCGGGACTGAATCTACCCTTCACGTTTTGCGGGATTGCCCGATCACCAAGAGCTTGTGGTGTCGTCTACTTCCAGCCAGATCTGCGGACGGCTTTTTCCAACAACAACTTCGACCATGGCTGTGGGTTAATTTGAGACGGGAGCTGATGAGCAACGATAAGAATTGGAGCACCACATTTGCGTTTGGTGTTCTTGGCAGTGGCGGAATGAAGGTATCTTTGCTAACCGGTCGATAGGATGCGAGGCGCGGTATTTGAAAGTTCTACGTAAATCGAACTTGTACGAGAAGGCAGCCGCTGCTTACGCTAAGGCGGGAGCGACTATGTATTCTTTACGCATGATCCAGTGGCTACCGCTGGGCTCAGGCTGGGTAAAAGTGAATACTGACGGGTCCGTTAATCGTTCTACCGGCCTGTGTAGCGCGGGAGGATTAACTCGCAATGAGAATAGAAAATGGATCGAGGGTTTTGTCATGAATATTGGAATTTGCACCATCATTGGGGCCGAATTATGGAGATTGTTTCAGAGCATACAGATGGACTGGGATTTGGGGTTTCGAAAGGTAGTAGCGGAAGTCGACAATTAATGTGTGCCGAAAATGATCTTTGGGCCAGAAGTTAACTTTGGAGCCAACGTGTCACTGGTCAAGGGCATTAAGAGTTTGGTGGAAGCACGTGCACAGGGAAACGAACTTTGCAGCAGATCATATGGCGGAACTAGCGACTTCTTCCATGCTAGGCTTGCAAAAGATCCCGTCACCTCCTCCAAGAATGGAAGCATGGATAGACCATGATGTCCGTGGGGTGGCCTACCCACGTTGGGTTCTAGTATAAAAATCTCGAGCCTCTGGCCTCCATCTATGTACCAAAAAAA